AGGAGCAGCGCGGAATTTGTGGGCACCGTAACGCACGCCCGCGCCAAACAGAGGGTCTAACGAAATAACGGCAAAAACAGGACTTGGAGAAAGGCCTGCAGACCTACAGGGGAGGCTGCCACGACAGCACATCCCTAATTGTGGTCCTGTGCACATGCAATCCTCTCCAGAAGAAAAGAACGGATGCCCCAGTGCAAGGGTGACAGCAAAGCCCTGCATGGAGCCAAGGCTGCATCTCTTCGCGGAGGCAGCCGAGTTCTTTGCAACGCCGTTTTCTGACAGTTTGCCAGGAGAATGAGCTGCACCGAGCTGATCCGAAGCAAGAGCAAAACCACTTGGAGCTGGGGAATGGTAGCACTCGCCTTCCGAGCAAACCTTGCAGCTATCAAGCCAATATTAACTTGGCTAAAAAGCCTCAATTCTAAGGGCTTCCACGAGGGAGCCAAGTTACAGACGCAGCAACGGGGCTCCACGATGCTTATCTGCTAATCAGTATGTAGGAGGCATTTATTAGGGCTGGGATTTCCACAAGCGCCTTTGAACAGGACCCGATTCACAGGAGACAAATCTCCCCTCTGAATATATTATTATCACATCATAGAACTTCTGTAGCTATAACAAAAAAAAAAAAAAACCCACAAAACATGCACACAAACGCAAGAAGAATAACCCGGCAGCCACTGCTAAGGCAATTCAAGGGCCAAAGCGTGCTCTAAGATCAAGTATTTTAGAAGAACCACCACTTCTGAGGAGCAAATCCACCTTCTCCAGCCATCTGGGAGCCACAAGTGCCAAGTGCTTTTGCTGGTCATATAACAACCACTAAATACGTATGTATACGTATATATATATATATTCTTTTTTTTCCAGGAGAAGATGCTATAGCATCTTACTTGGGTGATATTCCTCCACAGCAAAACTTGTAGCACTTATGATGCTCAGAAATTCACATCCCAGTGCGCGGCACATCCACGTTCTGTTGAGTAAACGGGTCTTAGACCCACTCGGTACTAGCAACAGAGACCTTTATGAGACCCCAAGGAGTCCCTGGAAGGGCTATCCCAGCTCGTCTGCCTTCTTAAGGTCTCCAGAGAGGCAACCCAGAGATGTGCTGGAGACTGGTCCAATTCCATCTGAAAAGGAAGCACGCCTTGGAAATCCGTGGACCTGGAATCGGATCGCTTGTATGATTTATTTGCCATCGCCTCCCCATTACACAAATATAAATAGAACCGGCATTTCTCTGCAGCCCCGAAATGATCCAGAATTAATTCCAGATGACAAAACGGACCGTGTTCCAGGAGGGGAAAAGTTACAGCAAAAGCTCCTTCCCATTAATGGGGCCATTCATTCCTATGGCCACTCTTCCACAGGGGAGCGGGCCATAAATAATGCAGCTGACATCTAGTTACAGACGATTATATCTGACATAATGAAGTTATAATGGAAGGAGTTTGCACATTGTTCGGTTATTAAGTGCCCATTTCTTGTCCCTGCACCAGGTGCAACGGTGATAGGCCATACAAATCATCCAGAAGAAATGCCAAAACAGGCTCCCTTACTGATAAAGCCCCGCACATGTTTATTAATTTAACAGCTTGTCTTATGTCTCCCCCATCTGCTCATTTAAAACAGTTATTTGCCCTATAAATATTTCAAGCAGAGAAGTGTAGCCAAAAATTAGTCTGGCAGAAAGAGGAGGGGAAAGAAAAGGAGGCAGAGAAGGGTCTCCGGGTGCTGAGCACAGCGCTGTGTTCCTCCTCCATGTGGAACCGCTGCGGCAGCCATTTCCAGGGGTTCCCTTTGGATTGGGGATGCTCGAGGCCATAACTCCGTCAAGGGCTCTGCTCTCCAGCTGCTGCCGCGGGCAGGTGGGTGGACACTTCTACCACCTCGAAAACCAAACGTGTGGGGCCAAAGCACCTTCCAGGCTCTGCGCCCCTATGGAGCTTCTTGGACAGGATTGGAGCTTAGGCCTATGGAGAATAACATTTCAAGTTGCCTTTAGCAGCTCGTGCCATTCTCTACTAAGTCATTTACAAGACAGCTTTAGTTAGCTGCTAAAAAAAAAAAAAACTAGCTAAAAATGCCCCCTTTTTGGAATAATGGAAAAGGGGTTATTCAGCTCCCAGACTAGTTCTTTTTCCCTCCCCTTTCCAACGAGTGGGAGCGATGCTGCTGTTCCGAACAGCTTCCAGGAGCTCCGGGTGTTGTGGCTACCGCCAACCTCGGTGCCTGTGGAGGGATTCAAGGACACCCACGCTCCAAACCCAACGCCCCACGCACGGCCATCGGTGTAGACCGCGGCACTGGGAGGCGGAGGGGCGCTCAAGCTGAGGGAATGGCCTTCCCGAGGCCAGGATCCCGATGGGAAGAGATTCTGTGCGTTTTCGGATGTTGTAAGGATGACGTTTGCTGCAACGACCAGGACCTGAACTGTGGCCTAAGCGACAGCCCTCCCTAGAGCAAGATGCTCAGGAAGCATGTGAGCCTACCCAAGCTCCTGTATTGGCTATGTATTTATAGAGCTGGGAGCCAATATTCACTGTCATTCCATGTTTTGGAAATATCCTGGCTCCAGGTGTATCGGTCTGTGAAACATCTGCTCTCTCCGAGCTTCACCTTGAAGGAAACCTTTGGACAAAGTGAGCTCGACAGGCTCGGAGCGCTCCGCGCGCTGCTTAGCTGCAGAGCCCTGCATCTGTTTCATGTTGAATATGATTCCACACATGCAGTAAAATCTGCTTCTGTAAAGCTTCATCGGCAGTTTTAGCACGTGGATGCAGGGAGTTTCATTCACTCCATTCCCCGTATTTTAGCACCCGGCAGATTTTTAGTTCAAACACTACGTTCAATTTATTGCTGTATATGATACCTTCATAAAATCCCTCCCTAAGCTGGCGGATGAGGACCGCTCTTATCTTGGAAATTCTTGGCTCTTGTCAGGAGCAAGCGACCTGTTTTTATACATGGATTATGATCCTGAGGACTGGGGGGCAAAAGAAGGGGCCTGTCCTCACCCGCCCATGGTTAGAATTTAAGACATGGTGAGATGGGACCCTCTGAGCCCAAGAAAGAGGCTCCTGAAATGCTAATACCTGATAACTAATAAGGGGTGAGGAAAAAGAAGCATCTTTATTCAAGAATGTTGACTCAGGCCTTTATTTTTATTAAGTAATTTGCAGCGTCGTTACTAAGTTGCTATACGGAGCAACGGCTCAGAGTAATTACCTGGTAATGCATGATGACACTAATGCACTGGCAAACTGCTGGAGTCCATCTCCTATGCAGGCCTTGTGGCAGGACACCGAGAGGTGGGTAAAAATGCTCCGCGCGCAGAAACCGCGCGGGCAAATGTCACCGGGGGGGACTTCTTTAAAAAATAAAGGAGGAGGAAGGAAGAAGGCCCTGCAAATCAACCTGCTGCCTGAGAAACGCAGCTGCACAGGCCCGCAGCAGCACTGAACTGGCATTGGTTTTGATGTGGGGAGCCAAGATGTTTTCATATTCCCAGAGTGGTTCCCTTCTTTCTTATTACAATTAAAATGGCAAGGTGGTTGCCAATATATATATATATATTATTTTTGCCACAGTAAGTGCAACACCAACCCATACCCGCAAATCACTCTGCAGTGATGCCCTGGACGAGTAAACTGGGAGGAAGGATCGGCAGGGACACGGATAATATAATTTATTATCTCTTTAAACCATTTTCATCTCCAAGCTCTTGCAAATAGTCAGGAACCTCATTCTGCAGAGGAGGAAACAGCCTCCGTGAGCTCAAGAGGTCCCTAAAATCAGTGGTTTTACAAAGGTTGCCCTAAAACAGCACTCTTGAAAATGCCAGCCCTGGGAATCATGTGGAAGCAACAGTGATAGCTTAAGGGCAGTGCTGTTTTGGCATTCCTTAAAATTGGTAAAGCAGTCCTTGCAGTTCAGGGGTAAAGCTTGGAAGAGACCCTGAGCATGTCCTAAAGCGCCAGGAAAGGTGAGTAAACACACTCGCATCCCTCCTACGCATTTAGAAAAAGGATTTAGAAAATTTACAAATTTAGGAAAGGATTTAGAATTTAGAAAAGAACGTGAAAGCATGCTCTTTCCCCAGGAGACGATAGCAATAACCCCACCTTTGGACATCCTCACAAACCAGCAGTTATGCCCATGCTCCAGCACCCAGCACACGCTCCACGTTGCCCAGAGGCAGGAGGGACCATCAAGGAATGATCATGCCGGAGTGCTCCCGTACAGGAAGACACAATTCCTTACTTTTCCTGAGGTCCACTCGACCAAGTTTCAGATGAAGGCACACGGAAAAGCTCCCTCTAAATCAAGGGGAGCCTTCCAAACCTAGCACCCACCTTTCTTCATGGTACGTGCTGACAGCATGTCGATGCAGATGCTCCACCACGTGCACGGGACAGAAGAGCAACACAAACTCCATCATTTTGATGTCCTACCAGACCAGCGACAACCTAGTTCACAGCAGCAAAGTGACATCTATGACTCCTGTGCCAAGCTGGGTCCACGCTCTGCAGGACACCTCCCAGGCCATGGGGCACGCACGAGGGTCCATCGCAACGCAAGCCGACGGGGAAGACCCTCCAGAGCAGGCAGAGCAACCAAGGACCCAGCCCTTTACTTGCACAACTCAACGGATGCACCCGTCTTGGCGAGACTCATCCTCCTGGCTCAACCCGTGCACCTTGGGAGCCATCTCCCAAGGGCAATCAGCTCACCTAAAGCTCGAGCCATCCTCTGGAGCGAGGGAATCCCCCCTGACTCCAGCAAAACCTAAGAGTAAGGACGATACGGACGAAACCCGGGCCTGAACACGGTCACCCCTGTACAACTCTCCCACGACTCTCCCAGCAGGCCCAATCTGCTGCAGCCAGCGTCCTTGCATGGCACGTGGCCCCTTTCCCCGGAGAGCCACGAGCACCTGGCACACACCGAGGCCCCCGGCCACGGGGCAGCGCGCGCGGAGCTGCGCCAGGACTCACCCTTAGACGGCGGCCTCTCCACGTCCGAATCCAGGTGGATTGGCGGGGCAATGTAGGAAACCTGCCCGTGGTGAGCCTGCCCTGTGGACAAATAAGGGGTTTAGTTTCCACGACTTCCTCTCAAGAGCTAACAGAGTTTACCGTTAAACACACCACGTTTTTAAGGCACTGTATTAAAAACAAGTTTGTGAGTATTTTGCCTCTCTTGCCTAGTTTTACATACACTGAAGTTCGGAAGGAAGCTGAAAACACTCACATTTCTTTTGCGTCTCCCAAGCAGACGTTGATACTCTGCTGACTAGTGATAGTTATTTTACCACTACCATCTTTCACAGCAAATTGTTCTCCGACGAGGATGCACGGAGGACAACCTATTTCAAACTCTGGGGGAGAAGCCCCTTCAATCTGTTCTTCTGATTGGAGAAGCATGGCTGGGAGGCAGCAAACCTGCAGCAAAGAGTGTTGCACAAAGGACAACTGCACCTGCTGCTTCCAGCTCCAGAGGGAGCTGGAAGGGAAAGGATTTGTTGAGGGATTTGTACCTCAGTGGGACCTGTCCAGTTCCTAAGACTGTTGCACAGCTTCTGCCTTTAGTGCTAAAGACCTTCCTCATCTCTAGCAACCTGGAGGCAACCACACCGAGAAACTTCTACTTATAATAAAAGCACGTTGTTGTAATTCATCTATTTACCCTAACAGTTTCTGGGGTTGTTAATCTGTTCTTCTAAACAAGAGGAGTTAATGACACATAGATTATGGGAACAGCTAGAGTAACCTTCCCCTTTCAAGTCATATTCGTGTGGCAATAAAAGCAGTTGATTCCTCTTACGAGGCACATTCCAAATAATTAATATGGCTCCCAGTTGACACTTGCTGCTGCTGCTCCAAGCAATTTCCAAGCGAGTGCTGCAGAGAGCAGGGATCCGGTACAGTCTTCGGGCTTCCTTGTAATGACATCCAGGAGCACCACGAGTGTAGTGCGTTGGTACACGTAACATGGGAAAACATCTCTTCAGGGGGGTAAAATATTAGTGGAAAAGGAGGGAGAAGAAGACGGATGGACAGGAAATGCATTTACTGCTTTGCACGGTGAGGTTGACTCCGATAATTCCATTATTAGCCATTAGGGCAAGTGGACATTACTGAGGTCTAAAACCCTGTACTCCATAGTGGTTTTAGGTGCTGAAACACAGCACATCTGCTCCAGGCTAACAATGAGTTACTCCGCTTTCCCATTCCTGTTTTCCTGGTAAAAGAAACACGTGATCTCATCTGTGAACCCAATTCCTCCTTCCAAGGCTGCCTGGTTTGCAGCAGAAGCGGACAGGCAGGACTCGCTCCGAGCCCATTGCCAAGGGCAGGAGCAGTGCCCCTGTCACCATGGGGCCAGCCTCACCAAGAAGATACAGGAACGTCTGTTGTACCGAGGACTAACGTTTATTTAGACATTCATTACGAGGCAGGAATAGCTATGGAAGTTTATGAATAATTTATAAAAGCTTTTACTTAATATGGAAGAAGTGGCAGCATCAAGTGCTCAGCTGAGATAAAAGCAGCAAGCTTGAGAAAGCTTTGACTTCCTTGCTGTAGACGCAAAACACACCATTCCACCAAAGCTGCTAATAAATCACATTTCCTGTTTTAACATCAACATAAACATATATATGAGGAAATTTAAGTAATTACTGTGCTTCATCTTCTGTGCACGAATGCCAAGTTAGTTGCTGAGGTGTCATATTGAGCACGGGGTCAGCTAAGTCAGTCGCAAAGAGTGACTGGACACGTGTTGTGCAGCAGTGCCACTTCACTGTGACTTTGGGGGTGCTTAGGTTGAGCCACAGCTCGAGGAACCCAGGACTCCAATTACGGAAACATCTCCAGCGCAAAGGACCAACAAAAGAAAAGGGAGAAGTGTTCAAAAAGCCCAACGTCAGCCCCTGCCTGAACGCGGCAGAACACTCCAACAATAACGGCACCTCTTTAAATAAGTAGCTGGCCCAGTTTTTAGCTATGGAAAAAAATAAAGCATGCTTCTGACAAGATACCCACAGTCAAGCTGTTCATGGGAAGCTGGACATAACTGGACTTTTTGAGGAGAAAAATGCGGAGCTGTTCTCAGGTCAAACCGAGGGAGGCAGCGTTTGCAGCTCGGAAACAGCCTCTGCTTTTGTAGTTACTTCCCGGCCTGGCGCAGGAACTGCACCTTCAGACCCACTGACGAGGAGGAACTGCTAACCTGGCCTGGGGTAACCCATTTAATGCTTTGGGGGAGTATTTGATGCCTACAGAGAGCAAAACAAGCATCCCCACATCTTCAAAAACCCGTCCCTAAGTGACTATGTAGCTGGGGACAGTGCTGGACTGCAGTTTCCAGGATCATCCCTCCCATCCTCTTTGATTTCCCAAATCAGTGCTTTTTTCTCCCTTTTCTTCTCTCTACTCATGGGCGTTTTGAACTCCACAATCTGCATGCAGACATTTAAAAAAAGAAAAAAAAAAAGTAGAGAGAGAGGAATTAAAGAGCTGGTGGGTTTGTGAACAAACTCTTCTGCCCTGTCATTAACCAGATTCCACTCAGATCCCATGCTCTGCATATACCCAAATCCTTCCCGGCAGCCTTTTTCTCCTGCCTTTCGTCCAGGACTGTTTTACAGAACAGCCTTCGTTTCCTCACTGCCCGCCCTCTCCCACTTTGCATTAAAAGCAAAGCTTTTCTACGGGAGGAAAATCCTGGAGCAGAGGGAGAAGGGTCACGAGAAGGAGCAGGAAGAGTGAGGGAAGAAGCGAGGAGAGCAGGGATATGTTTAGTTAAGTCACTGTCATGTGCAGGTCTCACTATTTAAACTAAATGCAAGGCCCCAGAGGATACCCCCAAAACAAAACCAGCCCCAAACCTGGGGACAGCTGCAGCATTTAGGAACACACCATTGTAACGCATAGATGAATGTGAAGATGGGATGAAGGGATTCAAAGTAGTGAGTCCTGGAGAAGATGGTGCCTACCTGCAAGCCGGGACTGCCCAGAGTGGGGTTAGCAACAGGGAACACTATTAAGCCCCGGAAAGCGGCCTTGGCCCCATCGCAAGGGGTGAACGTGGAACGAGCAGCACCACGCCAGCTCCCGCAGGCCGTGCTCCTTGCTTCTCCTGCGTGAGGGTCTCCACCCCAATGTCCAAAGCAGATTTTCAGCAGCCCAACGCACTGTGGATGAGGCCCAGGGAAGTCTGCTCCAGGTGGGGTCAACAAGACTTGGGAGGGAGAGGTTTGCAAGAGATTTGGGGGGAAATGTAGCCAAAGTCGTGCAGCCCCTCTCTGCAGATACAGAATTGTTCCTTATGCTGTTTTGGATTGTACCTCCGTAGGCTTCCCATTGCTTCCTCTGAGACACTGAGCAACAGATTTTGCTGTCAAAAGACGTCACCTTTGTTTTCCCATCCCCACGAAAGCCCGTTTTATCTCGATTACTCGTTACTCGTTCTTTTTCTCCTCCTCATGCTTTGCCTTTTGCCTCTCTTCTCTTACAGGTGTTGTTGCCACGTGGAGCTTCGATTCCGGTGGCAAAGTATCCAGGAGCTGTTGTGAGGGGAAGAGGCCCAGGCGCAGCACTGAGCGCTAGGAGACAGGCCTGAAGCAGACAGGTCGATCCGGGAGGAACGGAAGCGTCCCCCGGCTTCCAACACCGTGAGCTTTGCTCCAGGGACGCGTCGCTCTCCCCCTGCTCCGTTCATGACAGCCTGCAGCCTTCCTCGTTAAAGAAAGGCAAGGAGAGGAGCAATTTGTGTTCTGAGGTGGTCGGTGCCCAATGCCGCTTTCCCGGCTCCGCTTCCACCACGCTGCCCAGCGCAGGGTACAGGCTTCACCAAATCCCCACAAAAACAGGTATCCCCAATCCGTCAGGAAGGGACCGAGCGGTGAAAGACATAAACGCTACCTTGTTTGGTGGAGAAACGAACCGGGGTGGGTTATTTTCCCCATGAATGGAAAGAAAAGCGATGTAAGCCACTTTGTGCTTCCTCGTCCCTTTCTTTTCCTTTTCCTCTCGGAGGCGACACAACGTATGCGTCAGCATGAAGGACGTGGCTGCCTGCGGAGAGATTTTGACAACTCCCTCCTGAGCGCTAAAGTGCTGTCAGCCGAGCCACGGAGCTGCTCGGGCAGCCGGATCGGACCCCGACAGGCGTCCGCGCTGCTCTTTGCGCCTTCCCCCTCCCCCAAAGCACCGTGCTCGTGAGCGGGGCGCGCGTGCACGTGTCAAACAGCACTGCCAAGACGCTCTGTAGGGGCCCGAGGCTCGTGTTACAGCCCCAGCTATTCTGCATCCGGAACCCCAACGCTTCAGCCGCCTTCGAGAACGTCTCCGAGCTGCTCCAGTTTTAAGTTCCCACCCGTGCTGCTTTGCGCGACGGTTTTGCTTACAAGTCTGCACCCTTCCTGCAACGACACGATGCTCTTTTATGCTCCTGGAATAATACATATTAATGGGGAGCCAAGCCTCCTTCACGCCTATGAGTCATGCGGGATGTCTTCACCCTGCCTGGGGGTGAAACCACTCAAAAGGGGGTTGCTTTAATGAACGTAGAGATTTACATATCCATATGCCAGCCCCGACCACCATCATGAGTTCTGTGACCTCTAACCTCGCGTTTGGCTCCCTTAAATCATCTTTTGCTCAAGGAGCAGCCACGTTCATGCCTCAATTCGAACGTGGAAAAGTATAAAAACAAACAAAACTTCAACCTTCACAGAAGTTGAGGCTGGAAGCGGTGGTGTCTCAGTTATCCCCATTTGCTGCCCGGATACTCCTCTCCTGACTGGGAAATCCTTGAATTTCTATGAGGCTTATGACAGAAATCCTGTACTTCGGATCGCGAGCGGTCAGCTTGGGAATCACTGTGTGACCTAGTCAATATTGCAGCAGTAGAGTTGAAAACTGCTCTTTTTCCCAAGCAAAACATAGCAAAACTGCCGGATAGGAACCTGCCCCTTCCCCATGGGTGAATCCCTCACAGCTGCTGTCCCAGTGCTCAGGATATCACTCATATTTGGCTTAGTCTTTTTGATCTTTTACGTAGTGTTGGCCAA